AATCCAAAATATTTTACGTTGCATTTGCGAGAAATTATAAGGTATTTGAGGCACATATACGTCAGAGGCAGCGAAAAAGCATATTACTTGCGGAATCTACTTTCCGGAGAGATATATAATTTAGAAGATATTTCTCCAGCATTCAAAAATCTAACGGCGGAGGGAGAGTGCGGACAATATTGCACGCATCACGGATTTCAAAAATTTTTCATTGCGCATTACATGCTTACAAATTGAAGCGCTGGCTATTGGAGCAAAATAATAATGTCAGCAGTGATATTCTCAGCGTTAGCCAACCCACTAGTTGTAGTTCTCTCGAAAATTATCAATTGAGCAGTGACGACGACGACAGCAGTCGCGAAAGAGAGAAAACCAGCCACGGTAAAAATTACTTTGTCAGCAGCGTAAATGATAACCCTGTTCTAATTCATAATATAAAAACTCGAGCGGATAATATAACAGAAACAAAAGATTTGTCAAGCATCGAGCAGTCAATTAAGAAAGAAGAAGAAGAAAGATTTACGGAGCGCAAATCGTCCTGCAGAAACTTTACAGCGGGAGAAGCAAAAACTTAAGTTATTAAAATAATACCAGAATCCACGCGTTTATCTTCGCGTCAAAAAAATAAACTCTTGCAAAATTATACGGGCATTGCGTCATATCGATGCCAAGCAGTGGGAGTTTATTCCACCGACAGAGTTTCGAGGGTGTGGACGAAGTCGACGGCTATCGTCGCTAATACAGACGATCATAATAGTCTTGGTAAACACTGGATCGCCTTCTTCCTCGACAAACATGGAACAGGCTACTTTAATAGCTATGGACTACCGCCTGGAACCAGGATTTCTCCTTCGTCTTCGACGAAACTCCATCATCCATCGATGAAATACCCGTCAAATATAAGGACTTTTTTTCACAAACTTACGAACATTATAGTTGTGTATTCCTTTACTTTATGTCTATCGGATACGATTTTAATCAATTTCTTACTCTTTTTACCGAAAATTGTACACGCAACGACAGATTAATCGTACATTTATTTCAAAAAAAATTTTTTCCGTTAAAATAAAAACGTAATTTCTAATTCTAATATTATATTCAATTCAATAATTTTAATAATATATTTCTATGTATCGCTTTTAACATTTATGTATATGGAACATCCAATTATGTGAAGAATTAGTAATAATAAACGCGTGTAAAACTTTTTACTTAAATTTTTATATTTTTCCTACATTCTCTATTTTTTACCTCATAGCAAAATAGAAATTCGACCCTTTTTACTTCAAATTGTTCAATATATTATTTTCTCTATCCTGTCTCTATATATCAAGAAATTATTTTATTTTATTTTTCCAGCAATAAAACTTTAAATGCGAACCCGAGCAAGCGTGTTTTCTATTAGAGTTATTTTTATTACCCAAAATGTCGAGGTGACGTTCAGCCAAAATTGTACACGTGTTTCTTTTTGTTTTTTATTGTTAGATCTTATTTGTTATCGAGGTGTCGATAATATTTGATATTGCGTATACGACAAGTGAAATCGTAGTCAGACGTTAGAGGGGTTTGTAATTTTTGTATATCTTGTTTTCTTTGTTTCCTTTGTTACCAATGATATCAACATTAGTCGATAGTGCAACGCCTAGTAAGCTATCAGTCCGAAATTAGTGCGAGTCTGTATTTTTTGCTAATCTTTTTTATTGCTGTTACTTCGGCGGCCTTCCTCTCTATTGCGTAAGAGAGTTCGAAGAGCGAGGTGCCATAGTCGCCCTCCACGCGGCTTTGGTATACCACGACTTGCTATTTTGTCGGCTTTTTCCAAAACCCACCTACTCTCCCTCTACCCTTCCAAAATAAAAATCACTTAATTAGAGTGCCGGCAAGTATAGGCAGAGCCTACCAGACATTGAAGACTAATGCCCCGATAAAAAATAGACTAATCTTCGATCGCAAAATTTTGTCTAGCCACACCCCCTCAAACGTCAGGGCCTTGTGTCCGGGTTTTGACCCCCGCAGCTGGGAGTGGAGGCTCCAATTCCATTGCACGTCGGCCTCGGGATGGTCGGGGGTGAGCTGATAGCCCGGCTCACTCCTATTTACCCTCTCAGGGTGAGAGGGCCCTCACAGCAGAGGCCACTGACCCTCACAGCAAGGACCATTGTCTGTCACACCATAAACGACCGTCTGGCACAGCAGGGGTCGACGCCAGTGGCCGAGGAGTGGAGGTTTGTTTTGACGGCCTATAGTGGCCCACTTACTACTAAGGGATGATACTTTCCCACGTGGAAAGTTGCAAACTCATGTAAAATCTCATTTCATGTAGAAAGTTGCAAATCTATGTGGAACATCACTTTTTTCACTTGCGAGTCCAACCGCCATTTTTAAGTTTCTTATTCCTGCTTAGAAAACAAAAATACGTAGGAATTCAGTATTCTTACCCAATATTTCATATGAGTAGGTTTTCCGAAGTTATACTGTGTGTCCGATCAGGATTGTGTCCAATCGAGACTGTGTCCGATCGGGACTGTGTCCGATTGGGAATGTGTCCAATAAAGACTGTGTCTGAACGCAACTGTATGTGTCCGATCGGAACTGTGTCTGTTTGGACCTGTATGTGTCCGATCAAATCTGTGTCCGATTGGTAATGTGTGTAATCGGGACAATCCCCTATGTTCACGGATACATTTTTTTACGTGAAAGCGAGATTACGCATAAGTTTGCAACTTTCCATGCGTTTGCAACATTTCATTCTAAGTATCCATTTCTGAAAAAGGCATGTTATTGATTCTCGAAAGTCTCGAAGTATTGTTGCCTCTTTTCCGCAATGCTCATTGGTTCTGTCACAGTGTTTACTTTGTGGGCGACTGTCATTGCATATTTTGACAGTTGTATATGTATCGAGGGGTTATAGTGTAGTGACAGTAATGTATATTAAAGAATTTCGTGTATCTAATAGTTAACATCTGATAAATAAGTGTTTATTAATTTTGTTATTGAGTGGTTTCGATTACAGTTTCTCAGTTTCTTAAAAAAGGAAATAGAAATTCGGTAAATTAAAATTATGTATATATAGAAATTCAATTAATTTAGATTATGTACATATTTTTATTATAAGATATAATACCAAATTTAAAATCAATATTTACTAATATTACAGATGTATTATTTATGTTAAATATAACAACAAAGGAAATCGATAACAGTAATACTGACAGCAAGATTTTGAAGATGATTAAAAATTTAAATATAGAAATAATAGATTATACAAACACAAAATCGCTATGTACGATTAGTAATAATATTAATATTAAAGACAGTTATATTCCGAAAAAAGTTTCTAAAACGCTTGATACTAATTTAACGAAACTTGTAGAAAGAGATGGAAAGTACAATTCTGGAATTCAGTTACCATGTCAAACCGATCTTTCTTTTGAGAGTAATAAGGAAAATGATAGCTTCGTGAATTTAGAAAATAAGTTGGATATCACTAATATAAAGTACAGCACAAAGATTATATCAGTTAAAAATTATACTCCTGTATTGAATAAGTGCACTGACAAGAAAGTAGAGAGACCCTTGAGGAAATACCTGGCTTTAAAATCACGTATGAGCTAACACCTAATATTAAACGTTTTAGTTATTCACAATTAAATAGCGATAATTTGCATTGTGAATTTGGTAATGCAAAAGCTTGCTGGTCGGGTAAAATACTTGCAGAACTTTATAATTTATATGATGATTAAATACCCAATTTTATATGTATTATATCAGTCGATTGTTTTATTTTAAGATTAAAGACTAAATATTTCCCTTGTCTAATATTTTTATATTAATAGCATAAATGTGCAAAACGAAAATGTTATTCTGTTTTTCTTTTATTTAGCTTTTGTTTATGAAGCTGTGTAAAGGAGAATTCTAACTGTAAATGAAAAAAAACTAATTTGGAATATAGGAATTTTAGAAAATATAAAAAATTGATAATGATTAAAATATAAGGCTTAATATGCCTAATAATGAATTATAAAGATTAAATGTTTAACTCATATAAAAGCAATAAATAATATATATGATAATTATTTTTTGCACCGTTGTGGGCTATCGCGACAGGGAAGCGTTACTTTTATTTTAATTCGCCGAAATTTTATTATGTACAAAATTTTATTATGTACATGAAAGAGAGAGAGGGGAGGGAGGGAGAGAAGAAGAAGGAGACGCAGAAGGAGGGAGAGGGAGAGAGGGAGGGGTTAGAGGAGGAAGAGAGAGAAAGAGGGAGGGAAGGAAGGAGGGGAGAAGGAGGGAGGGGGAGAGAGAGATTGATCTTTATTAGCTTTCTCAGCTATTTGTAAAATACAAATCTGTTTACGCGAGATAGTTAGGTTTTCAAAGATCCCGGGATTCGCACATGAACTGTATGAAAATCCACGTTCTCACTGGAGACATCAAAATTAACCGAACGATAGGATAGAGGAAAGATGAAAGATCATTGCTTAAGAGAGATGACAAACAGATTTGATCCTTTAAGAGTTTATTTGAGAAACACACAATTGAGATGGAGACAAAAACTGAATTCGTGATACATAGCCTTCGCGCGACAACCTTGCTTGATCAGAGAGCTCAGCTCGACTGCCGTTGACGAGGTGTCGAGAGACAAGAATTCCCCGTCGTAAGGGTGAAAAACGGGGAGCAAGGTATGTTTATTTGAGTGCGAATCAGCTGATCGGTAGCTGATCGCCAGCTGATCGGCAGCGAAAAACAACAAGGAATGTCACGGTCGCGGCATCGTAACAATACGAGACTCGAAAATAATATATTTGTCACGCTGAAATAATTGGCTATACAAAGGGCGTGATATATAAATACAATGATCGAAAACTTTAATGCCGAAATATAAGATTGATCGATATGCGATAACTTTTACTTGTCAAACTCCAAACATTCCGCCCGCCTTGGCAACTCCGCGTTGACAATATTTATGGAACGTGAATCTATCGCGAGAATGTCTATGTTTTATTTGGATCCGGCAGCAGGCACAATTTGACAATTGGTCTTTTGAGCGTAGTGTTGGCCGTCTTCACACTGACGACTCTGATAAGTCCGTCAAGCCCGTGATGCACGTCAATGATGCGTGCGAGAGACCATTTGGTAGGAGGCATCCGTTCGTCCTTGATGAGAACTAAAGACCCAACCTGAAATGAATTTTGCGCTTGGTGCCGCTTAGAGGAGACCTGAAACTGGGACAGATATTCTGCAGTCCAACGCTTCCAGAATGACTCCGTCATCTGGCGGAGTAGCTGCCAGCGCGACAGCCGAGATGCTGGGACATTACCCAGAGAGGGCTCCGGTACAGTGGTGAGCGCTGATCCGATTAGAAAATGCCCTGGCGTGAGCGCTGAAACATCCGTTGGGTCATCCGAGAGAGCGCTTAGAGGGCGAGAGTTGAGAACCGCCTCGATCTGAATTAAGAGCGTGTTCATCTCTTCATAGGTGAGCAGCGTGTCACCTATGACTCGCCTGAGGTGGAATTTGACCGATTTCACTCCAGCTTCCCACTTTCCACCGAAGTGAGGGGCCGAGGGTGGATTAAACTTCCACGTAACTCCATCGTTGGCGAGCTGGGAGGCGATGTGAGTCCATTCTGTCGTTGAGGCCTTGAACAGTCGCCTTAATTCGGAATCCGCTCCTATGAGATTGGTGCCGCAGTCGCTTGTGATTGTGGAGCAAATCCCTCTGCGGCCCGTGAACCGTTTGTAGGCGGCGATGAATCCGTCGGTCGAATAATCTGTCGCCACCTCGAGATGCATAGCTGAGGTGCTGAAGCAGATAAAGATTACAAAGTATCCTTTGTAAGTTTTTGCACCTCGTCCGCGAAAGGTCTTGAGTGTTAGAGGTCCGGCATAATCGACCCCGGTATGATAGAAAGGTCAACATGGAGTTGCACGAGAGGCCGGAAGCTGTCCCATTTGTTGAAGCCCGGTAACTGCTTGTTGACGTGTACAGGTTACACATCGATGAATAAATGAGCGAACCGGCAGGCGACCCCCGAGAATCCAAAATTTGCGGCGTATAACCGAGAGCATGAGTTGTGGTCCGCCATGTAACGTCTGTTTATGGTAATAATCCATTATGAGGTCCGTCAATCGAGAACTGCGAGGTAAAATCAATGGATGTTTTTCCGCCGGATCCAGCTGAGACAATTGAAGGCGTCCTTGTAGTCGGAGGTGCCCTTTAGTATCGAGAAACGGAGTGAGACGGAACAGTGCGCTGGTTTTCGGCAGCTGCTTACCTCCTCGTAGGAGTCGAATTTCCGTTGAGAAATAAGCATGTTGCGTTAATTCGACCCAAAGAAGGACTGACAATTCTAGCTCCCCTGCAGTAAGAGGGTCTTGCGATACAGGCACAGTCCTTGAAGGTCGGAAGCGTTGGATCGCACGTAGAATCCAGGCGGTAATGCGGGTCAGTCGAGTGAAAGATGAGTATCGTTTTATGAGATCCCACATATCTGGCTCTGGAATCACGATCGCGATGGCGCAATTACGAGCTCGTTCTTCAAGATGTGCGTTGGAATCGAGCGAGAGCTTTGAGACTGGCCACGCGGTCGAGAATTGCTGTAGCCACGGAGGTCCATGCCACCACGACTGATCTTGCTGGAGAAGTTGAGGCGATGTTCCGCGAGACGCCACGTCAGCAGGATTCTCTTTCCCTGAGACGTGATGCCACCGAGAGTTTGAGAGCTCTTGTATGAACACGACACGATTTCGCACGAATTCTTTCCATCTCGATGGATGGCTTTTGATCCATGTTAACGCGACGGTGGAGTCCGTCCAGAGATGCGCTGGCGTTTGAGTTAAATCGAGAACTTCGCGTATTTTGAGAAGCTGTTTCACGAGGAGTACGGCAGCTGATAATTCGAGTCGCGGAATTGTTACGCGTTTAAGCGGAGTCACTTTTGTCTTTGCACTAACGAGAGTCACATGAATGCCGGTGGGAGTCACGACACGGAGATAGATAACTGCGGCAATTGCATGTTGAGAGGCGTCCGAGAAACCATGCAATTCGGTTCCGAGAGCCGTTGAGCTGGTGCCGAACCAACGCGGAATCACAATAGCCGACACCTGTTCGAATTGCTGCATGAATTCGATCCACTGAGATTTGAGAGAACATGGTAATTCGTCATCCCAGTCGAGACGTATTGCCCACAGTTGTTGCATGAATCGCTTGGCCGTGATTATAATCGGTGCGATCCAGCCGAGAGGATCGAAAATCCGCGCGATAAACGAGAGTACCGAGCGTTTAGTGAACGCTTTGTCTGAGCGCGGAAACGAAGGGGCAACAAACACGAAACTGTCACTTGATCGGCTCCAACGAATTCCGAGAGTATAATGCGTCGTGGAGTCGCCGACGGGTAGGATCGCGGAAGGATCCTGATCGCACACGGGAATACCTTGGAGCAATTCCGAAGCGTTTGTAATCCACTTCTTCGGATTGAAGCCACCCGCCGTGAGAGTATCCTTAAGCTGCTGCATCTTTTCTTTCGTTGTAGAGATGTCATCTGACCCGGATAAAATGTCGTCCACGTATGTATCGCGGCGTAGAATTTCGGCAGCCAGTCCGCGTGTGGATTCAATGTCGGTTGCGAGCTGTTGCAGACAGCGAAGTGCAAGATATGGCGCGCAAGCTAGTCCGTATGTCACGGTACATAAGAGATATTCTCGCGGCCGTTCACACGGAGAGTCTCTCCAGAAAATCTTCTGAAGTGGCCAATCGTCTGGATGTACGCGAATTTGTCGATACATTTTTTCTATATCGGTCGCGAACACGTAGCGATGTCAACGCCAGCGAACGAGAATGTTAATGAGATCCGTCTGCAATTTCGGGCCGATATGCAAGCAGTCGTTTAATGATATTCCGAGATTTGTTTTCTGCGATCCATTAAACACGACGCGTAATTTCGTGGTCGAGCTTGTTTCTTTAATGACGCCGTGATGCGGCAGAAAGAATTCGCGTCGCGAAATATCATGAGAACTTGAGAGACGCATATGACCAAGTTCAAGATACTCACGTAGGAACTCCTTATAGGCTACCTTGAGAGAAGCGTGCGTTTCGAAGCGCGCTTCCATACGTCGGAGCATCCTGAGTGCTGGAGCGCGAGAATCACCCAAGTCACTTACAGTTTTTCGGAGCGGTAACCGAACGATAAAGCGTCCATGCGCGTCACGAGAATGCGTTGTCTTGAAGTGTTCTTCACACTGAGATTCTTCTGGGGTGAGCGTCACGTTATGCACAGGCGTGATTTCTTCCTGGGCCCAGAATCTTTGGAGCAGATCGAGGAGTTCACCATCAAGAGAGCAGTGCAATCCATTAATTGATTGTTCTGTTGAGATGCGATCATGCTCAGAGTAGAGTTGTCCGGAGAGTATCCAGCCGAAAGTGGTTTTCTGAGCGATTGGCGTACCGCTAGCTCCTCGGCAAATGCCGTCTTCGAGAATTTGCGCACAAACACCTGCGCCGAGAACGAGATCAATTTTTCCTGGCGTTGCAAAGTTTGGATCTGCAAGCGCCAATCCATGGATATGAGGCCACTGAGCATTCACAATAACTGCAGGTGGCAGATAAGAGGTGAGTTTCGGCAACACAAGAGCTTCGATTTTTAGAGAGAATGCCGAATTGACGCGTGAGATAATTTCAAAAGAGACACGTCCATTGGAGACACTGGATCGCTGAGCACCGATCCCGATAATTGGAATTGCAGCTGAAGTGCGTGAGAGTCTTAAGATTTGTGCGACGGATTCGGAGATAAATGATGCCTCCGATCCTTGATCAAGCAACGCGCGTACTTGATAATGTTCGCCGTATGGTGATACGACGGTAACGAGAGCGGTCGCGAGCAGTACGGACGTACTTCGAATTATACGCGATTGTGTCACATGACTGCATGCTTGAAGCGTTGATTCTTGTCCGTCGGCTTGCGCGAGATGCGTGGAGGTGAGTCCTATGTGCGAGGTCGACGGAATTGAGGCAATCGGCGACATCGTTGTTATTGCGGCTACCGGTTCGTTTGATGGGAGATGTAGCGTTGAGTGATGTTGCTTGCGACAGATACGACAGCGCTTTGCATTACGACAGCTTTTCAGATGATGAGGACCGAGACAGTTATAACAGAGGTTTTTCGATGAAACTGTCTCGCGGCGTTGAGCGGGAGTCTTCTCAAGATATTTCGGACACGCCAAAATATAATGGCTTGAATTGCACAACGCACACTGCTGTTCGGCGGTGGTGGCAGCGTATGATCTTGCGTTTAGTTGAGGTCGTGTCATATTTGTTGCTGGATGTTTACGTGAGGTCGTGGATCTTTCGATAGCTTCGAGAGTATGCACGCGTCCAACGAGAAAGGTTTCTAAGTCGGCGAAGGAAGGCGCGGTAGTTGTCGCACCGAGTGTTTTTTCCCAATCCTTCATTGATTCGGAATCGAGATTGCGCACAGTCATAAAAACGATAAGATGATCCCACTGGCGCACCGGACAGTCGAGAGCTTCGAGACCACCGAGGATTTCCTTAACGTCGCCGAGAAGTCGCTTGAGTTCCGATGATGACTCGGTTTTAAGTTTGCGAATTGCGAATAACGCTGACAATTGAGCATCAATTAGTATTCGCTTATTTTCGTAGCGAGCAATGAGCATTTTCCAGGAGCGGTTGAGATTTTCACTAGAGATAGTCACATTTTTCAAGAGTTGCGATGGCTCCCCTGTCAAGCTCATTTTTAAATAATGTAGTTTCTCGACAGCCGATATATCATTATTTTCCATGATCATGGACGTAAACAAATCTCGATAATGACTCCATTGAGCGTAATCACCTGAGAATTTTGGTATGTCGATACGAGGCAGTCGTCGAGAATGAGATGCGGTAGACGTTGTCATTGAGGCCTCGGTCGCGGACGCACTTCTTTCCGGTACGAGCTCATCTAACATGTCAAGCATGATGCCATTCGCATTGATGTATTTCTCTTCGCACAATGCATAGAGGTCGTCAGCGAAATACGGCAGCTTTGCAATGTCGGGGCTCCGCACTTTGCACAAGCTATCATGAAGACCCTGGAATTTCTCCCAATTAGCCTTGAGTGCGCTCACGCGACTTTGCACTGCTCCACGAGTTGTTTTTGTCGGTCCGAGTTTATGAAGATTTTCGACTGCGCGGGAAATCAGACCGAACAATTCATTCTGGCGAGCAATGGTGTTTTCGATTGTTGCCATCTTCGATTGAGTCGGACTAACTTGACTGGAGAGTACACAGCACGTGCGAAAATGCACTTATTTGAGAACGCACGTCGACAAGCGGCAGCCGCACTTACGCAAGACTCACGCACAATCGTAATTCCGCAGCCGACTGCTGAGAACCGCTGGTGTGACAGCAACGAGACAATAAGCACGACAATTCACCTTCGCGACGTTCGGTAATTTCGGTTACGAGAATTCACGTGTTTCGCGAAATCCGAATATCCGGCTCGAAGGACCAGCAATGTTTACGCGAGATAGTTAGGTTTTCAAAGATCCCGGGATTCGCACATGAACTGTATGAAAATCCACGTTCTCACTGGAGACATCAAAATTAACCGAACGATAGGATAGAGGAAAGATGAAAGATCATTGCTTAAGAGAGATGACAAACTGATTTGATCCTTTAAGAATTTATTTGAGAAACACACAATTGAGATGGAGACAAAAACTGAATTCGAGATACATAGCCTTCGCGCGACAACCTTGCTTGATCAGAGAGCTCAGCTCGACTGCCGTTGACGAGGTGTCGAGAGACAAGAATTCCCCGTCGTAAGGGTGAAAAACGGGGAGCAAGGTATGTTTATTTGAGTGCGAATCAGCTGATCGGTAGCTGATCGCCAGCTGATCGGCAGCGAAAAACAACAAGGAATGTCACGGTCGCGGCATCGTAACAATACGAGACTCGAAAATAATATATTTGTCACGCTGAAATAATTGGCTATACAAAGGGCGTGATATATAAATACAATGATCGAAAACTTTAATGCCGAAATATAAGATTGATCGATATGCGATAACTTTTACTTGTCAAACTCCAAACAAAATCTAATTAACATTAATTACAATAAACTCCTTTAACGCTCGCTTTTAAGCGCTTCAAACTCATTAATTCGTTTTATTTCAGCTAGTAAGGCATTGAACATTTTTACTCTTTCATAAAACATACTCTTCTATGCACTCGTTGTTCTGCGAAATTGCATTACAATGTTCCCTGCTTGTCGCGTCTGTCTTCCACTTTCATTTCCTATTACTGTTAATTTATTTCTTAATTAACCTGGTAACATTCCTTAAAATCTTAAAAATAAATATACACACATTATAATATAGCCTCTGTCTTACGGACATAAACTGTAGCGCTTGTAGCATACGCTCTACTTTGGTAAATCTATCACATTGCAATATGACCCTCATGGCCCGGTTTTGCGCTTTTTACAACTCTGCTTCAGCTGTGTTTCTCCCATATCAATTAACAGCGTCGCACAATACTCAAAATGAGGCGTTATGATTAATTTATATATAATGCATCTAGTGTATGCCGATATGTAGTTACCTATTCTATTTAAAAAAACTTACTTTTTTCTTATTTTCTTTAGCATGTAATCACAGTGGTCCTTAATTCTTAACCTATCATCAATTATTATGCCTAGATATTTTATTCTTTCCACACGCTCTATCTCTGTTCCGTCCAAACATTCCATTTCATCCAAAAACCACTTTTTCCTTTCTCATATTTTTGGTATTCTAAATTTTTTCCTAGGTGCTGTAGCATCCAACGCGTCTACTATATTACCCAGCTAACCATTTGCTTGAAAATTGTTAACAATCGGGAAACAAAACACAACCAAATATGACTGCAAATCCAGGGTTTACTGTGTCCTCGAGTGCGCTCCAATTGCAATCAAAAGTTGAAAGTATATCCTAACATCAAGTTGGGTGCAACGCCAGAGCAGATCTGTCACTAACAGTGCGACGACAGATTGGCAACAGACTGGGAACAGATTTGTCAATCGTAAATTGAGGACAGATTTGCGCCAAATGCTCAGCAAATCGAAGAAAAATCCTAGATCTGAAGGATCTGCTGCATTTTTGGCATCAATCTGTTGTCAACACTTTCGACAGATCTGCTTGCTACTCATTGCCACTTTGTCAATATAGTCTGCTAACAGATGTTGGGAAATATTTACTGAATTTATGCTCACAGTGTTTGTAATGACAAAATATGTTTCTTATTTGCGGCCATTTTACAAACAAAAGTTGTTGCCTACATTTGCCTCCGCAGAAATGGTTAACTGGGTTATCTACAAGTTTTTTTGCTCTTGCACTGACATTTATATCCTGGCTTTTTTCTATATTATTTTCTACTAAATTAATAAATTCAGCTACATTAAACTCTTTAAAATTCCTAGCACTAAAATTTCTGTATTTATTACTAATTTTATTCGCATTAAGATCAACTTTTAACCACGCATGGTCCGTTATTTCAGGTTCACGAATTACTTGCACTCTTATTTTATTAGTAGCGTAAATTAAATCTATTGTTCTGTTATCTTTCGTAATTCTCGTCGGTTTATTTACATATTGTTTTATGCCTAAGTTCAACATTGTCGTTTGCAACTTTCTTGTATAAAACGAATCCAACATAATATCTATGTTAAAATCTCCTATTACTTTACTATACTCCTTGTATTATTAATTCTTCTATTATATCCTCCAGAAATCTCACGAAATCACCATGCGATAAACTCGGTGAATGATATATTACTGTTATCACTCTCTTATACAATTTATTTTTTACCTCAATTGCAGCACACCAACAATTTGTTTTTAACATTTTTATTAATACTATCTTATATTTAATATCATCCCTTATATATAAAATAACCTCTCCTGTATTTCTGTTTTCAGCATCACATTCAATCATACTATAACCTGGTACGTTTACTTCAAAATCTTCAATTTCAGCAGTCACTCTAGTTTCTGATAACGCTACGAACGCAGGGTTCATTTTCTTCATAATCTGATGCTATATCTCGTCCTTATGCGCCATCAAACTTTGCGCATTTGTATATAGTATTAATTCCGTTTCCTTCTGTAGTTACTATTTAGCTTCCTCCCAGCTACTATTTAGCTTCCTCTTAGCCTCTTTTTCTCCTCCTGTATCGTCCTCTTGAAAGTCAGACATTTCGGATCAAGTGCGGCATGTTCATCATTTATTTTCAAATTGTATGTTTTAATCTTAAACATACAATTTATACATCTTTTCTTTGTCGCTGTACATTCACTCACATTATGATCTCCTGCACATTTGTGACATGTTTCATTATGCGTACAATTTTTTGCAATATGATAATAACCCCAGCATTTAAAACATCTTTTAATGTTAATGTGATTGAATGCAGGACACTTTCTCCATCCTACATTTAGTTTTTCTTTGCTCAACATTACTTTAGGAATCCCTTCATCTGCTTCAATTATTACGATACCATCCTTTTCTCCTCTTCCGGATTGATTTTTATCATTTCTTTTTTCTTTAACTATTTTCTTTACTATCCGCATATGAATTCCTTCATTTTTCACATCAAGTTTGTTCTGCTTTTTAATCGTACCTATTAAATCATCATCATTCAATTTCATTTCTTCCTCGCCAATATTGACAACTTTATCTTAGGTTTCATCCACGGTGACTCAGTAACTTTGAAATTCTCGCCCAACTTGGCTTGTACTGTCGTCTTTAATTTTTCAATTTCTTTTTCAGTCTCACAGCCAAGAATCACTATTCCCTTACTTCCTTTTTTTAACTTCATTATTTCCATAGCCATATTCTTGATATCTATCTTTTCTTTTATCAGTTTTTTTTATATTTCACTCTCCTGTTGCACCTTGGGTTTGACAATTATAATATTTTTTTTCTTATCTTTAATTGCTTTACTTATAACTTTTCTGAGTTCCTTCTGCTGGTCCACACACTCCTTGCATCATTCTTCTCAAATCTTCCAGTTCTTATTTAATGCATCCAAATTCTTCTCGAACTATTTTCTTCATCACCATCATTTTAATTTCCTCCTTACATGCGGTTTCGTCTTTTATTTCTTTCACAGTCTTCATAAGCCAATCTATTTTTACATCAACACTCGTTGATCCACTCACTCCTGATGTTCTATTTCCACTGCTAGATGCCTTAAGTCAACCCGTAGATCCTGTAGATCCTAATCTGTCCCTGCTACTCCCCGCCGCGGTCGATGTCTTTCTCATATCTATTTCACTTTCAGTTGTAAATTTCTCAAATGGGCCAGGACACGACACCAGCTCGTGATTTTTATCATAAATTTTATGTTTACTTACACATCCTGGATGGTAAAAAAGCTTAACACACGACTTGCATGCCACCACTTGATTTTTTATTGCCTTCTTATATGCCGAGCATCGATACTCGTCATATTCATCGTCCATATCGATAATTACCGGCCGGAACTGTTTATAGCAGCATAGACGGTCAGTCACCTGTCCAAATTCTCACGTCAGCACCTTTGTGCCCACATTTAATGTCTACGTGTCGCGTGAAATCTCCATTCCTTATAAAAGAAATTTATCTCTCCCGCTCACAAATCAGCATATTCCGGTTAGATAACAATCATGTCGATTCGCTGTCCATGTAACTATTACTTCATTACTTTTTCATCACTCTCCTTTACTATTTAATCACTTAAAATTTACCACTTTTGCAGAGCGATGTTTGACACGTCTTCTCCGTCTTTGACTGGAAGAGAGAGAGAGAAAGAGGGAAGAGGGAGGGAGGGAGGGAGGGAGAGAGATAGTAACAACTAAGCCCTGTGTATAAGACCGTGTTTCGGAGTTACCGGGAACTGAGAGGAGATCGGATAGTATGTATAGAGGTTATTACTGTCCGATAACGTCCTTTAACATGTTTTATTGCGTTTTTTAAGTAAAAATATATTTTTGAAAAATATTTTCAGATTTTAAATCTGAAATTTAAGTTTGTTTACCAACAAAAATCAACCTGTTTATGACCAAAAATCGCGTATGCGACAGGGTCATGAATGATTTTAAATAGCACTAGAAATTATAAAGTTATTTATTTAAAAATATAATTCTCTGATTTATTACTAATTATTTGTTTCAAAACGTTAGATTTTTGCAATTGAAAGTAACGTAACGTTATTTATCTTATTGATAAT